CTGGGTATATATATATATATATATATTACTTTTTGCAGTTGTTCCTCAGCATTGTGTGCTCACAGTTTAAAAGTGGGACAAATGTCTTTGGGAGGCGAATTAAATTTTTTCCATATTTTTACCCTGTGTTTGACGAGTCCCTGAACTCAGCAGTGTTACTGTCCCACTCCCAGCGAAGTGCCACAGCAGCTGTGGTGTCGGCTGCGGGGCAGAGGTCTGCAGCACAGAAACCGTCTCATGAGGTTAAATTCACGACCGCTGATGGGAGGATTTCAGATGCTGTGTTTGAATTTCTTCTCCCTGCAAACAGTAACCCACATTCTGTTCGTCCAATTTTTTTTTGCAGCTGCGATGAAATCTTTGCACCCATGTGTGCATGTGTGTGTTTAGCATGTCRGGAGGGCTTGACGTAGGTGTGTGTGATGTGTTTGCTTATGTTTGTGAATGAGTAGTCTGCAGTGCATGCAGATWGTGTGATTTGAATCATGGCTCCATCTGGTCCTAACGATGAACTCAGGCGACTCCTGACCCTGCAGGTTCTCCTCACAATTAAAGGTTTAGCATTCTTTGTAGGATACATATCGTCCGCTGTCTTTTATGACATGGYTTTAAACTAAGACCATCCCATGTTTATAAATAACTGCATTTCAACCATTTTGGTCAAACTATGCCCACCTAGAAGACAAGTGTGGGCCAGATCTGGTGTCAACCTGATTTTGCTGGCATGGAAAGGCATTTGTCAACTGGATGTTGGCAAAGTCTGGCATTGATGGCACTGTTTTAAAGATGGCCTGCCACAGCTAACCCAGTTGTGGTTTGGTTTAAGTGGCTCAAAACTGTCAATGCCACAAATGGCCCTGTTATAGTTTGGTTTACATGGCTCCAAACTCTCAATGCCACAACTGGCCCATCTATAGTTTGGTTTATATGGCTCAAAACTCTCAGTGTCACAACTGGCCCAAATGTAGTTTGGTTTATATGGCTCAAAACTGTTAATACCACAGTTGGCCCAATTATAGTTTGATTTATATGGCTCAAAACTGTCAATGCCACAACTGGCCTACTTATAGTTCGATTTATGTGGCTCAAAACTGTCAATGCCACAGTTGACCCAGTTATAGTTTGATTTACTGTATATGGCTCAAAAGTGTCATTGCCACAACTGATCCAAATATATTTTAGTTTAAATGGCTCAAAACTGTCAATGCCACAACTGGCCTACTTATAGTTCGGTTTATATGGCTCAAAACTGTCAATGCCACAGTTGACCCAGTTATAGTTTGATTTATATGGCTCAAAACTGTCAGTGTGACAACTGGTCCAAAAATAGTTTGGTTCATATGGCTCAAATCTGTCATTACCAGAACTGGCCCAAATACAGTTTGGTTTATATGGCTCAAATTCGTTAATTCCACAACTGGCTCAATTATAGTTTGGTTAATATAGCTCAAATCTATCAATGCCAWACCTAGTTTGGTTGTRGTTTGGTTTWTGTGGCCCAAATCCRTGTCCATGCCACATCTGCCCTGGTTTTGGCTTGTGCATASAACATTTCTGGTAAACCACATCTGGGCCACCAAAGGGCTGTAAATGATTAAGGTATCTGGGCCAAGTGTTAGTGCATTGTGTGGGCCAGAACTTGTTCAGAAAAACTTTGCTATGTGGGTGATAACATTATTTATTTATTTACCTTTGTTTAGACAGGCAATCTCCTTTAGACAACCTGTCTCTTTTACAAGAGAGACCTGTATGACACACATACTGTATCTTCCTGGTATCTTGTGAGATAGGTTAGAGCTTGGRGTATGTGTTGTGAATAACTCTGTCATAATAAAACCAACTTGTCTACAGAAGAACGATGTACATCTGGTTGAATCTGACCGCCCGATTGTAACACCAGCCCACAGAACATAATGCAACAATTGTAKGGTGGTCTGTTCAGCTGGCAGAGCCCAGAAACCAGAATCAAAGCAAAACTTAACAAAACCGTAACCTCCAAACATAGCTCCATAACCTAATTAACATTGAGTCAGCAAGCGTGGCAGCAGCAGCGGGCGAGATTGTGGTCAGGGTTGTGGGGTACAGGAATAGYAGAAGCCATGCTGACACACGGGATGACACACTGAGCCACGACAAAAGAATCACATGCAGCTACAAAGATCAGCACGCTGCCCGGCCCACATGACAGCGCCTGCTGCTCCCACTGTTACGTTCCTATCTTTGTCGTAGGACGCGGTGGAGAGCTTGTGTGGATGGTGTGATGTTGGTGGTAAATGTGGCCCTAAAGATCTACAAAATCAAAACTAATCAACTGATGGGAGAAGTTCAAGATGTAGCTTTTTAAAAATCTTCACTAACACAGTTTAAAACTGATTGTGTAGATATTTGGCTGTGTCTGTGGGTTTGGGCCCACCAAAACCAGTTTTACAGATATTTTGCCAAAATGTGGTGTACTGAAATTGTAGGTGACATTTATTTACAGTGTTGAGCATGGTTCTGCTAATCTGTTAACAACCAATATAATAGCAGAACAAGTTTTTATTTTGCGGATTTGCTTTTTTAACTAACTTTGCAAACCTTTAGCAGACCAGTTAACTTCAGCTAAATTAGGTTTTGCCCGATGAGGTATATATTGTCACGAATGGTTGGCAAGGAGAACCAAAAAATGCAGGCAGGCAGGCAAAACTTAAAGTAAAAGGAAAGATTTTAATAAAGCAAAAGCCAACGTGGTGGCAAAACAATAAATCCAGGCTTGGAACAAGATCATGAGGTCTGGACAACCATGGGTAAGCAGTACGATGATCAGACAGGGAAGTGAAGACAAGACACAGAATATAAAGGTGAAACTAATGAGCACAAACGAGAAAGACCTGGGGGAGAAACATGAGGATCAGGCGTGAGTGGGTGGGGCTGGAGCAAAGGCAGACAGGAGGAAGAAAACAGATGACAAGACAGAAAACTAGGATAAAACATTAACACAGACACCAATCATAACATATATTGGCTAGAGGTGACTTTTCATGGTCAGACATAGCGGCCATATTGTTCAGGGTGAAGACAGCTCAACAAACAGTACTGTTAGCTGGTGAAGCTCAGTGTGGTAACCATGATGTTCAGATATTTGATTTGTGTCCTCAAGCTGTGAACATGTTGACTGCATTAAATGTTTTTTGTTAGAGGTGCAGTAACTGGTTTTGCCCACTSTTCTKTGTCAACCCGTTGTTGAAGTGAAGAAGAGAGACAGTGCTTTGCGATTGTTGTTTGATGTGTTTTYTGTTGTTCTGTTAAATGAAGAGAGGAGACACGGAGAAAAGATACCTGACTCCATCCACATTATTCCTTTGAGTTCATCTCTGTCTGTTAAATTTAGGTCAGCACATAAACGAAACTAGGTTTGCTATTGACAACCATTATTTTTATTTGATAGTAATATTTGTCAGTACATACCAGACAAAACATGTTGCCAAGTCACACACGTCTTCAATTAGCATACAAGCTAACTAAYAAAAAACTAATAATTRTATGCAACTCTACGCAGAAATCTTRCCATGATRAATTATTATTGAYAGCTCGCCACTTCCAATATGGTGTCGCGCTCATACCATACTGTTCAATCTTGTGAAGCGTGTTTTACTTGCTTAGCAGTTTAGCATTACCAAAGCTATACTTTTAGTTTGTGGATCATGAGTATTCACTACACGTTGTGTGAGATCTTTGCTTAAAACTTTGGCGTTAACTGTTGGAGTAAATTCTGCTTGAATTGTTAGCAAAATATCTTGTAAAGCACTGTGTKGATTTTRTGAAAACTTTTAAAATGTAATMATTGGATGTACATGAACAACTATTTGGCGTATCAAATCAATCTTATTCACAACTTWATTTTTAAKTTTTGACCAGAATGACAACAGTTGTTTATTTCTTAACATYAGATGAYCTTASTCTAAAMCTAAACATGTAATCCTTCAAAAAAATTCTGTACCTTTTAATTCATCTTTCAATTTTTTTGTTTCTTTGCTTTATCTGAGAGAAAAAAAATCTTGAGTGTATTAAAGTATTTTAACAAACACAGTCACACACAAGCTTCCATATTACACAAAAAGAGTCCAAATTGCTCTCAAAAAATGCTGCACAGCTCAACAAACCAATGCCATAACAACCTGAGGTAATACTCCAGAGTCGTCTGCCATGCTACATTCAAACCGTTTCTATTTGGGATGGAAAAACACCAGCATCAGCTGACAGCTGCGCTTTTCTCAACCAATTGTGCTGCACATTCTCCAACATGAATGCACGCTTAGGGCTCATATCTGCCCCACAACAAGCCTGGCTTCTCGTGGGCTGAGCGTGAACGGGAAGCTGTGCGTGCGCCAYATATGACAAAACACATTACTGTCTTCTTAGTGGGACGGCCTCACATAGGCCATCCTGGGGCTCTGCAGCTGAGTTACCCATGCTTACTCAAATATTCATAACTGGATAATGAAAGTATAAATATAAGAGCGGTTGGGGTAAACAAAACAACAACTTCCATTATCTCGCATCACTGTGCCCTGGCTGTGATGGTTTCCAGCTGGAGTCATGTCAGGGCGGTTCAATACGAGCAGCTTAAACAGTAAAGTTTTGCCAGCAAACTGTGTATACTTGGACTTCATAAGCTGTTTCCACATCGCTTACTAACACTGTCAGTCTGAGAAGCTGCTGAACATGTTTTTCTTGATGATAAATGTGCTCAAACGTTGCTCTTGTTTCTTCTTGTTTAGTGGAGGGCTGCCTGTGGCAAAAACCAAAAAAATAAAAAAACCAACAAGAAAACCTGGGCTTCTCCTGAGTCCTCTCCTGTACCATGAGCACTGGCTCTGCCCAGGATGTGGCAGTCGAGCATTTCCTGCGTGACATAGAGAGGCGAAGCAAGCGGCTACACTGCGCTGTGATAGGCTGCGAGGAGGCAAGATCCCGCAGCGACATGAACCTGCTGTACCGCAAGAGCCGTCTGGACTGGAGGCAGAGAGACCAAGAGGGAGGTAAAAAGAGGTGAGTGGACCGACTCACGGGAGCGCCTGCATATGTGGGATTACAGTGAGGTCTCAGTTTGGCAGCGGCTTAAACCTCTTAGTCAGGCACTGTGAAAGAGTTTAATTTCCAAATCTTAATTCCAAGCACAGTTCAGGGGTCTGAATAAAAGCTGAATGTGAATAGCAGCAGTTCACATTTAGGTTATTGTGTTCGTCTAATGAGATGAGCCACAATAGCAGGCAATCTAGGGCAAAACTACTAAAACACACCTAGAAAATTACAATGATTTATTATAACTGTGAGTTTATCTTAAAGAAACACATGTAAGATATAATAAGAACACTTTTGTTTATTAAGTGAGGTGAGAGAGCAAGTGAGCAAAATAAATCTTATTTGTATGTTTAAAAATAAGATAAGAATGACAACCCTTAAACCTTTGTGTTCAGAACATTGTATATGAGTTTTCTCCATTTTTAGGTATTTTCAGATGTTCTGTTTTTTATTGCAAAATACAGCTATGTATCAACCTCAGCCTGCCGTCATCTACTCAGCTGCATGATTAAGTTGATATTTTTTACAGTGCTGGTCAAGTTCAGGGCTCCAATTTCCTTCACCATTATAAATCTGTTAAATGTTTGTTTATGATTAAAGCTGCTGTTGGAAGTCTAAAACAAGTTCCATACTATGGCATAAATGTGTGATTAAGAAACACCTTATGGTTAGTTTAGGTTATTGTATCATAACAGCAAAAAAGTTGCCACCAAAAAAAAAAAAAAAGATCACACTAATATTTCATTGGACCACCTTTAGCTTTGATGTAATTTACGGCACACATTCGCTGTGGCATTGTTTGGATAAACTTCCTAGACCTGACCAACTACAGCAACCTCAGATCGTAGCACTGCCCCTACAGGCTGTACAGTAGGCATGATGGGTGCATCCTCAAAGATGATGGGTCCCCACTATCCCTCCAGTTGTGTTTCACAGTTCTTAACTCATATTTAGTAGTTTCTGCAATCTCCTTAGATGTTTTCTCTGCTTGATACCAATGATTTGACCCATCTCAAACAGATGACTTGATGGTTGTTTAAGAAATGAGAAGCAACTCATTGCACCAGTTGGGCTTAAATAACTTGTTGCCAGCTGAAAGATAACTGGTTGCAGTAATTATCCAATAGGAGGCTGGCACCTGTTTGCTTACTTAAATCCAAGTGGCGGCTTTTTTTTCTGGCCAGGCATTGTATACTATAATGTATCATATTGTATCATATCTTATCATAAAATGTATCATATCCTATTAGATCGTATCATATTGCATCAAATCGTATCGCATCATATCATATTATATATGTTGTAACAAATCATATATCACATYGAATATCATATTGTTTTAATGAATATCAAATTTCATATTATTTTGTATTAAATTCTCTCATATTGTTATTTATGATAAAKTATTATGTTGTATTATATTATTTTATATTTTATCATATTGTTTTGTGTTCTATGTTTGAGATTCAGCAAGCCCAAATTAAAAGTAAATCTATTTGGAACCAATTTTAAACATAAGCATAGATATTTTTTTCATATACTGTAAATATTTTATGATTTCATTTAAGGAAGTGCAATCCAATCACAAGGCAGCAAAAACACAACCCTAAAAAACCGAACAAGCCAAGCTCCCAGCAGGGAGTGTTGACAACATACTGTCATCACACTCAAATCACAGTTTGCACATGACAGTATTGTTTTGAAAAGGTTGCACATCGCTGTGGATGAGTGCATCTTGTTCATCTGAGCATCAGAGAGGAGATGTACCCTTCAAATGTGAGTCACCTGCTGCACTTCACCAAACACAACCCTCTGAATCTGCTCTGTGTGGAGGAGAGGGAGAACATCAAATGGGAAAATTTGGTTTGTTTAGAAGTCCCATCAAGTCCTTTCTGAGTCGCAGTGTTGATTGGAGGTCTTCATGTTAGCAGCACAGATCAAYATTGTTGTTTTTAGAGAACCAGTGAAAGTGAGAGTAGGACATGCAGGATGTGACCGGTGACGATAAAAACCGGGATTGGATCAAGGATAAAACTAAGCAGAGACCACGGGTTCTAGAAGACTTATGGGTTGGTGGCATCAAAYGTAACAGTCTGAAGAGTAGATAGGAACTGTGGTAAATATGAGATCTTTAGGGCCTCCGGAGAGAAATCCCATTATAAAGCAGAGACGTCTGTGGAGCTGCAGAATGGTTATAAGGTGAGTTCTAGTACGAGTAATAAAAATAGAAGTGCTTTCTTATGGTGCTAATACAGGCAGACATACTGTTCCCAGTAGAGGGAACTGGTGGGAGCAAAAAAAAATCCTATTCTTGAGGCTTTATTAATTCCAGCAAAAAATTATGATACAAGAGTGGTGCATGTACTGTGTCTGATATATTCTGCAATTTCTTTTAAAGAAATTTAGAAGCAAATGAAAGGCAAACATGGATATGTTTATTTCATGTGCATCTGATCCACATATGTGGGGTATTTTTGTTTCAAGTATTAACGTCTTCATAGCTTAGATATTTTATTGCAGCTGCCAGCACAGCTTTATGATCAGGGATAAAAAGTAATGGCCACATAAATAAATTATAAAGTAGCATTCCTTGAAGAAACCCATATTTCTTTCTGGCTCGCATGCCAAAACAAAGATCTCAGCAATCTGTTAGTGCTTGGAATATGTAGCAGGATTTCTCTTAGCTTTTATCACAACAAATTTTAGGTCAATATCTGTAAAAACGATTGAGCTATAATTAATTTTGTGACTAAGGCAGATTAACTCATGTTAAATCATTTTAACTTCAAAAATCAGCTGTAGATACCCAGATTTGATGAGAGTTTGATTAGAATCCATTTAAAGATTTATGACATATTTTACTAACACACATGCACAGAGAAACAAGTGGTTACATTATTGCAAATATTTCTGCTAATCAGCTAATAGTGGAACATTTTTTCATTTAGCAGATTAGCTTTTAGCTGTTAGTGTTAGCTTCTGCTAATTTTTACTTGCTTAGCTGTTTTTGATCAGCTTCTGCTATTTTTTATGTTAGTGGTGTAGCATTAGTGAACCTATATTTTTTGTTATGAGTTATCAAAGCTAACTTTTTGGTTAGCTGTGTCCACCACTGGTGATGGATGATAAAAAAAACAGAGAAATATTCTGTAAGTTTTAACAAAGTACAATGTGAGGACAGAATTTTAAACAAGTAATTTATTTCAGCTGCTGGTTGCTTACAAGTATSATAGAAGAAGGGATAAATTTATACTGCTGTAGGTTAAATCACAAGATGTTGAGAAGAGAAGGAATGAAATGGGCTCAAAGCCTCAATGGAGTCAACCCATAACTAAAGGCAATCAATTAAAGTGTCACACATTGTGTCACGTATGTCAGAAAGGTTCAACAGAATAAGGACAGACACAGACTGGATGTCAGCGTTCAGCAAAAGAAAAATGACCTAACATCCCCTGTTTGTCACAAAACCAGATTGTTTGTTCTCAGTTTCTCTACAAATCCCTTTAAAATGTTTCAACTTTGGGCCTCCAATAAGAAATGGGACATGAGCTGCTTGTGAAAATCACCTAAACTAGATTTCTTAAATAAAAAAGAGATGTCTCTGCAGTTGTTAATATCTGTCACTCTAGGAGAAGATAGAGTCAAGATTTACTCCTTGAATCTGCAAAAAAGGGAAAATCTGTATTTCCTCTGTTTTTAGAACAAAAATGTAATGAGTTGCAAAATAAAAGTTATAAAATATTGAAGAAAGCATTGTTATAACWACATAATGATTGTTTCAGCTCTTGAATATTGTAGTTTTTTTTAAAGATTTATTCTAATAAATAAAATCTCATTGAATTGAGCAATTATAATTAAAAAAAAAAACTATTTTAACAGGTAAGTCAATTGAGAACCAATTCTCATTTACAATGATGACCTGGTTGGGTGGCAACAGTACAATATAAAATGTCAGAACATGTTAAAACAAGGACACAACACAGAGTACAGTTAAACATACTGTAACACTATTAATCAGGAAAATAAATAAGCAAAATAAGATAAAAAGAAAAACTAAGCAAGTACAGTGATCTTTTACAATAGAATGTATAGAACTTTTAAAAGAGGTTGGAGAAATGAATGAAACAAGTTTTAAGGTTTGCTGTAGATGGTTCCAGTCATCTGCAGCACAGAACTGAAAAGAAAAGCGACCAAAGGTGGAATGTGCTTTTGGTATGAGAAGATTGATGAGATCACTGGACTAACTAAACTAACTAACGTAGACTTTGATTTGCTTTGTGAACAGTGAGAAGTGACTGTAGGTAACCTGGTGTTTTTCCAGTGAGAGTATTGTAAATGAACATGAACCAGTGAATTTGTCTACGAGAATGAAGAGAATGGTGTGTTTTAAATGAAGCACCATTTTAGCAGCAACATTCATTTAGTGAAGGATTTGCAGAAGCTGAAGAACAAATTTTGTGCTCCTCTTATGGAACAAAGAAAACAGTCTTCCCCTGTTTTCTTAATATTAAGCTCATCTAACTCACTGTTAATATTTAACCAGGTAGGAGTGCGCTATAGATTTTCTCATTTATCTCTATTTTCGCTGCAGATGATCATCTTAAGCTCTTTAAGAGAAGACAAATAAAAACGGTRAGAGCCCTGATGCTCTTTGAACAGCTGCCTTTGGTTCTTTTAGGAGAAATCAAGGGAGGAAAGTAGGAGCTCTTCAAGCTGCAAGAAGATGCTCAGCCTCTGTCCTGTGCTAAATTTGGCCCTCTAGTATCTATGTCAATTGTGAGGAGTTACTAGAACATCTCCACAGGCATTCAAGGGCACAAACATGCTCGTAGAGATGCAGATGAACTCTGTCGCTTTGCCCCACAGATGAGAACACATACGTCCGCACGCATGATGCCTCACACGCAACAAGAGGAAAAGAAGAGCCACTGCATTCTGGGCCATGAGAAACCCTTCGGCTGCTGCRTGTGAAGTGGAAGACAGTTTCTTAAACGCGGTTTCTTCTGTGCCAGATTGTCTCAAAAAGAYCAAAATGAATTCAAAAGAGTACTCTGGATGGTTTGTCACATGTCCCACAAAGCAGACTGGTGTGGGCCAGGACCGGTGTCACACTGGCCCTGCTGTTTGACTGCTGGCATGGGAAGTGGTTTGTCAGCTGGATGTTGGCCAGGTCTGGGAATGATGGCACTGGCACAACTGGCCATTTGTGGTTTTGTTTATGTTGCCCAAATCTGTTAATGCCACATCTGGCCCAGTTATGGTTTGGTTCATGTGGTGCTAGCCTGTGCATGGACCACCTCTGGTAAACCACATCTGGGCCACCAAAAGGCTGTCATCTTTTGCAGTATTTGGACCGTGTTAACAGTGCATTTTGTGGGTTAGATCTGGGCCAGATAAATTTTGCTATGTGGTTATAGAACAATAACGTTATTGTTCTATAACCACATAGCAAAATTGTTCATCAGAAGTGGTCCATTTATGGGCCAGCACCACATAAACCAAACCACAAATGGGCCAGTTGTGGCATGCCATCTTAAAAACAGTTCCATCATTGCCAGACCTGGCCCACATCCAGTTGACTAACCACTTGCAGTGCCAGCTTGACACCAGATCTGGCCCACACCTGTCTGCTATGTGGGTTCTGTGAGAATCTGCTGTGTAAATTACACACCCAGAAACTGTTCCTGGCTGTTTTAAATGTGACACAGATCTGAATATCCAAATGTTGCTCCTGGTATTTTTCTCTGAAATATAATAAACACTGAAAACTTCTAGCTGAATAGTTTCCCTCTGACGCAGTGAAACTTCACAGAAGCCTTGTCAATAACGAGGAGGGACATGTTGGCTCTTGTTGCTGTTGGGTGAAGACTCATCCAGAGTGACACCACCCAACTATACCGTCTGTTTATTAAGAACAAACGACAAGCTGAGCTAAACATGGGGAGACGTTTGAACCAGAGACTCAGCGCTCTTTGGCTTCACCATCTCTAATTTATTCACAAGAATGTTGCTAAGTTTAGGGATGTTGCATCTGTAACACCTTTAGCAATGAGTTTGTAAACGTCTTCTCGAATGAGTTGTTTTGCTTTTTTTTTCCTTTAAATCACAAACTTGTTTAAATACATCACTGTGGTGATGCTTGTTTGTGACAGAAATGTGTCTGCACCCTACTGTGTCAGTTCTTTAAAAAGGATGATGCATTTTTTGCAAGCTTATTTTATTTTACCTAAAGCCATGAGAAAAGAATACAGTAGGGCTATTCAACTAGTGGCCTGTGGGCCACATCCGGCCCTGCAGGTCACTTCAATCAGGCCTGCCAATGAGTTCTTTAAAGGGGGTATATTATGTAATTTCCAGGCACATAGTTGAATCCTATAGTTTCCTTCAGTTATTATAAAATGCTGTATATATCAAAAATAAAATTTACTTTGCATCATAGTCTATCTAAATGCCTTGAAACTGGTCTCTGTCTCTTTAAGAACCCCCTACCATTTCCGACACTTCCACTTCAGGACGTTTTCACAACAATGCTTCGAGGGTGGGCGCTCTGTGGGGCGGGAGCTCAGCTGCAGACTGAGCTCCGGGGAGGAGCTATATACAAATAGGCGGAGCTTCGTACCAGCAAGCGTTTAGGCAGCTCCTCATGACTACCAAAGGAGATTCAAACATTTTTCAAACATTTATGAATAATTCAAAGCAACACTTTGTTTTTGTTTTTGATGAGGGAATGACATTGTTACATGATGTAAAGTGCAGAAAGGATGATTTTGCATATCTTCTCATTTTAAACAACTCATTGGCCTTGATGGAGCACCACAGAAATCCTGCAGCAGCATGAAATGTGAACTTGTGGACACTTAATATATAAAACAATTTTAAGAAAATATGTATTATGTCTTGATACATAAAACTTTAAAATTGGAAAAGAAAAAGAACTAAAAGCATCCCAGCTGCTGCTCAGTACGATATTAGATCTGCAGCATCTTGTTTGATTTATTCTCCGTGTCAGTTCCATTTATTGTTGTTTGAGTCTGTGTCATTGATTATTTCAAAGACTTGGTATCAAATAGCCAAAAACCCACAGCTGTTCCCATGGTAATGAATTACCGACTACTGATACGTGTTGAAGATGTAAACACGTGAAAACAAGAAGGGAAGGGGGGATTCCAGCGGCGTACACCTACTTTTCTTCAGACAAGAGAATTGATTTCCTAATTCTGTAGGTTTGAGGTGTAAGCAGAAGGAAGAGGTTTGTGAGAGCAAAGACTTTTCTTTTACAGCAGAAGCCCTGCAGGCATTTCTGCAATGCAAAGGGAATTTTTGAAGATTAAACARCAAGTAGAAAAAGAATGAGGTCAATTAACTGTGATTCTCGTCCCCCCGCCTATTTCTCTCTCCCCCACCKGCAGTTCCACCCAGAACGACCCCTCCGCCACCGTCGGGAAAGTCAGGGACCTGGCTTCGTTCCGACGCCACTTCCGCATGGGTTTCATGACGATGCCCGCCTCCCAGGACCTGTCTCCTCACACCTGTGCCTCTGCCATGGCGCCGCGCTCGCAGTCCTGCCACGCTGTCGGAGCGGGGGACGCCAGCCTCGAGAACGGAGATTACTCGGACGCACAGTCCCAGCACGGCGGCCGCTGCCCGCCAGCCAAACCCAAGCGTCACCCGAGCACTCGCCTCAGCTGCTCGTCCGCCGATAGCAGGGCGCTTTCTGAGACCCCGACACCCCCTCCAACCGCTCACTCCCAGGCCAAATACTCAGAGAAGAAAAATGGTAAAATAATCCACAGACGTGAGGCACCTTTCTAAAAATCTGAGCTACTGCTTTCTTGACGTGTCTTTTTGTCTCTTCCAGCCATGAAGAAGTCCGACTCTGGGGAGATTGGATCGAAAAAGGTGCCTCCTCTAAAGCCCAAACGAAGCCCCAGCACCCAGCTGACCTTTGACTCTCTTCCTCCACGTGTGCCTCCTCCTGCCACATCCATGCCCTTCCAGGCAGCAGACTCTCAGATTCAGGCAGGAGATGGGGAGGATGAGCCGGTCTACATAGAAATGGTGGGCCAGGTGTTCACCCGAGAGAGCCAGACGGCCACGCCTCACCCGGTCACGCCCGTGGCCACCACGCCGGACTCCGACTCGGACCAGAGCGAGGCGATCTACGAGGAGATGAAGTACCCGCATCAGGAGGACAGGGAGACCCACAGACACCTCCCGCCTAAACACGAGAAGCTGAAAAGCTCCAAACACTACCACGTCACCCCGTCCTCATCCAGCAGCTCCTCTTCTTTGCCGCGGCCCTCCTCTTCTTCTCCTTCGTACTCCAAACCTAAAGCCACTGTCTCCATCTCCCACTCGTCTCCTCTGCCGTCCTCTGCCTCCTCCACCCCGGTGCCACAGGTCCTCTCCACCAGTCCCCACACCCCGCGAGCTCCTACTCCCTATCTGCTGCAAGGGAGTAAAATCGAGATGGAGTCCAACACAAAGATCCCAGCCCCCTTCCCCAACCTCCTGCAGCACCGGCCCCCACTGCTCGCGTTCCCTCAGCCGGCGGCGGCCTCCAGCGGGGTCGGGGTGCAGACCAAGACCTCCTCTTCGGCCAAAACGCAAACATCCAGCACATCAACTCAAGCCACCACCTCCGCCGCCTCCTCCTCGGCTTCTTCTAACGTTTCCTCGTCGCTGTCAGGGTCCAAGGAGTCCTCGGGAGGGAGCTTGACCCAACAGGACAAACACAGCAGAGAGGCCCAGTTAGGCCCCGCCCCTGGACTGAGAGCCAGGAGCCACTCCACGCCGCTACCTCCCTCCTCCAAATCCACCTCCCCTTTCTCCCATCACCACCACCACCCTCACCATCGCCCCTCGCACTACCACCACTATCGCAAGCCGGACAGAGGGGACTCCCCGGCGCCGAACAAGAGCAGCTCCCAGACGTCCAGCCAGGCCACCGTCCAGACCCAGACGTCCAGCTCGGGCAAGGAGGGCAAGTCGGTCAGCTTCCTGCTGAAGTCCGATAAAGGAGAGAGGGATAAGGACAAGGACAGGGATCGAGACAGGGACAGGGACAGGACTAGAGACAAGGACAAGGAGCGAGACAGAGACAAGGAGAAGGACAAGGATCGAGACAGGGACAGAGACAAGGAGAAGGACAGAGAAAGAGAACGGGATCGGGACGGAGGGCCGCACTCTTTACCGATCGAGAGCACGAGCACCTCGAGCAGCCAAACGCCTCTAAGCACCAGCTCCACCCCCACGCCTCTGTCCTCATCCCAGCGTCCTCATTCCCGCCCACATCTCCGCTCTCACACCCCCCACGGCCTGCCCGCTTACAAGCCTCCATCCTCAGACAGCCCRCTGCTCTGGACCTACCCGTCTGGTGGCTTCCGGAGGCCGCCAGCATACGAGAGCCTGCGAGGCAGCTCGCAGACACCGTCCCTGCCTCAGCCTCTGAGTCTCACCGGTGTGGGCGAGGGGACGTCCAAGAACAGCGGGGGGTCTTCGTCACATTCTAAAGTTGGGTTCATGCCCTGGGACAGCAGTTTGGGTGCAGATGAGGGGTCTTACTGGCCCATGCAGAGGAAGCTATCCTTTAGCCACGGGAGCAGAGACTCAGAAAGTAAGTCAGAAACCGTGCAATCAAAAACCTTAAGATACTGAAGTTAAAACGAGGGGTTTTACAACATCTTCTGTTTATCTTCTTTGACTCAGAAGACGAAGGACGATCCTGGAACGGCAGTGTCGACGCTCTGCTGAGGATGGACAAGGAGGACCTGGGGATGGGTTCTCGAGGAGGTCACTCGAGCATCCCGGTTCACTTCAGTGGTTCCTCCAGCAGGGCCCTCGGTCACAGCGAGTCTTTGGCTGGCGTGGACAACAGCGCAGGCTTCAGAGCTCTGCCCAGAGCGGGGCTGCCTCTACCCTGCCAGACATTTCCTGCCTGTCGTAACGGAGGTACGCAAACACTTTAATCACATTCTGAAACAATCCTGTAGGGATAGATTTATGAAGGGGGTCCTACAAACCTATGAAGGTAGATATGTGTCGAAACTGGCCTGCAGGTCAGTTTCGACACATATCTACCTTCATAGGTTTCTCATGCTTTAGATGCAGCATAACTGTAGTTTTATTTTAGATTTTGTATGTCAAATGAAATGTAAATACATTAAAACTCAGCTGTCTTATTTGTCTCTTCTAATTTCTGTCATTTCACAGTTCAGTTTAATTTCAACCATGAAAGTCCCTCTGTTCATATTTATGTTGTATCTTAGGGTTAATTAGTAGGCTAATGATTAAATAGTGCCTCATTTGGTTTAAGCTGTATTATAAATCATTTATAAGTGGCAAAAGCACCATAAAATATAATAAGGACTCAAAGCAAACAGGGACTGTCACAATTCCCATTTGCATTCAGACATTTGCTGCTCTGCTTCATATTTCACTGCTGTGATCAGCAGGAACACGTTGTGATGTTTTGTTTCCCTGCAGAAGTGGGGCGGCTGGGCCGCTCCTCCTCTGCTGCCGGGGTGAGACAGGTGGGTGTCGGAGACGTCCAGAGACAGAGCAGTCTGCCAGCGCGAGAAGCCCTGAATCAGGTAAATATACAGCAGCTGCTTTTATCACTGCAAAGACTATTAATTTCAAACAGAATGATTTAAAGTGAACATCAATATTGTTTTTGTTACAACTTCCCCCTTTCTGCTGGAGACGGTGCCTTCTCCTGGTCTATTTATAGCTGGTCGTTATGCCCACTGAGCAGAATAAGGTTCTGGCCTGTCTGAGGGGGAGAAAAAAGATGTAAGATGTTGGTTAATATGCAGACTGTAAATAAAGCAGAGGAGCTGAAAGGAGAATATGCTGAACGATAGTTATGAGGGTGAATTGCAGTCCTCTAGCACAAAATTCTGTCCAGTTTCTGGCTTCATTGCGAATGCTGACGCAGTTTGAGTGTGCTGCAGAGACTGTCTGCATGCGTCTGATTGACCCTGCCTCAAACTGGAACCAGTGCAGCAACACTGCATCCTGGTGGCAATCATTAGGAAGTGATTTTTTTAAAATTGTTCATCATGAGCAGAAAGTGTTATTGTAATGCTAATATGGATTTGAAAATTCATGACCTGTCTCTTTTTTCCCTTTACACAGCTGCAAGGTCTGGGGCCGAGCCAAGTCCCCTGCAGCCCCGGTGCTCCCAGCGTGTCGCGGCAGCAGCAGCAGCTTCAGCTCCACCAGCAGCAGCTGCAGCTGAAGCAGCAGCTCCAGCAACTCCAGCAGCAGCACCACCTACAGCTGCAGTTCCAACAGCTCGCCCAGCTGGCACAGGGACAGCCCCCTGCGGGCGGGGGGAGCGCCGCCAYGCCGTCAGCCACGCAGACCCAGAGAGACGGGAAGCTGCTGGAGGTCATCGAGCGCAAGCGCTGCCTGTGCAAGGAGATCAAGGCTCACAGGCGGCCCGACAAAAGCCTGTGCAAGCAGGACAGCATGCCCATCCTCCCGAGCTGGAGACGGACACCTGAACCCCGAAATTCTGGCACTCCGCCCTGTCAGAGGCCGCAGGCCGTCGTGTGGGACACGGCTATCTGAGGTAAAACAAACAGGCCGGTCCTCAACAACAAACAGACCAGACTAAATGGAATAAACAGGAGTAAAATGGATATAACCAAGGATGAAGAAGACGACACGTCTGTCTTTGTGTTTGAGACTCATCAGAATGAAGAAGACCCTGAACTTGGTTAAAAACAAACTAAATCAAGAAAAAGATTGACTGAGGTCGTGTCGAAAATGTTTCGAATTCAGCTGATTTGTATTTCCTCTGTATCTTGTATTATACTGATGTGTTCTAATTGCCAACCATTTTTTGCCACAAAAAGACCAGTAAAAAACAAACAAAAAAAAAAACTGTCACAAAGTAATAATAATAATAATGAGTGGGTCATCTTTTTCTGAGATTGGTGTTGCCAAATATCCTCCTGACTACTTGAGATGCAAAAAAAAAAAAAAAAAAAAAAAGGAACCGTGTGTTTTCTCCCAGCTCGCCGTAAATCTGACAAGCACAGAACAAAACCTGTGCAAGACTCACAGATCAGTTTTTCAAGTGTTTTCTTGAAATCGTGAATGTATACGAGATGTCTTGGTATCAATAGATTGTCATTGTGGATGCAAATAATCATCACTGGGGAGTTAAAGATTAAAAAAAGAAGCTACCTACTGTATCTGTTTGCATATTTGTAATGTAGAAAAAATAAACTATTTACTTTCTGCAATTTTACAGCAATATGCTCCCAAAGCTCGAGCAACATATTTAGAAAACTTGTGTCAGCTAACATACATATCTAAGACTTGAAGAAGTCATATTTACTGTGTCATTCTCTGCATGTCACAATAGACATACAGTGCTGTTAAAAAAACAACAAAAAAATAAGAAAAAAATAAGTGTAGAGATGATCCTGTCAGACTTTAACAGTAACATATTGCAGATCTTCACTAGGATAACGTGTGGTTGTAGAAAATATGTTGCCAGGGAGGGATTATCGTAACATACGGTGGCAGTCCAGCCTAAAAAAAATATCAAACAAAAAATCAGATACATCATCATTGCTCATTCAACGCCGTTGCACACCACTATTTGTTCCACCACACAGGAATAAAACCCAGCACTGACACCCATCAAACGCAGACAGACTGTGCAATACAGTGCAACTGATATAAAAAGAACTGTGAGTCTCCATCACCTCAAACAGAATGCTGGAACAATCTGCACAAGAATAGGAGAAAATCAAACCCTGATGTACTGTAAATAGATGTGTACAACTCCTACTGAAAATGTTGTATTCAATACGTATGATGTAGCATAGACTGTATAAACTTTGTTCCTTTTTTCCCCCTTCTTTTTCTAAAAGTAGTTTATCTGCTGCAGTCGGTCCATGTATTACTTATAGATCTACGAATAAACAATGAGCCCTCTTTAAATAACACACACACAGGCCAACAGTTTATACAGATTTATGCAAGACTCCCTTTAAGCTCTGTTATTGATTCAAAAACCCTTTTTTTCTACATTTGCTTTTATTTCCTGTACAGATTTCAACAGCTTTCAGTCTTAATATTTTTTAATACTTTGCTGCTATCTTGAATACCGGTTGGTGTTGTACGTTCAACCATTCAGTGTTACCATGACAAACTTTTATTATTAATATAGTGCTTATTGTTACATAACTTTTTTCTATTGTTTTTTTTCTCCTGAAAGCCACGTGAAATGAAGTTTGTACCTTGAAGAGTCAGCTCTCCTGTAATAGTATTAAGGCACCTGAATGTCTCTTGGTTGTTGTTTTTACAATATAGTGAGTACCAAACTGTATAGGAAATGGTAAAAGAAAAAAGTAATATTTGAGAGTCACTGCTTGGCCTTTTATTTTATTCCCACCTGCTCGTGTTTGAATTTTTTATTATTATTATTAAGCTTACTGAGTCAATTTTCAATCAAACACAAGCCAGGTTGAAGGAAAATGGGGAAGTGCAATGCATGCAGAGATTCCTTACACTGAGATGTTCCAGTGATGATGTGCCCAAATTTTTGATTTTCAAAAGTAATCACCTCACCATGGTTCCTTTTCACAGACTGATACAAAAACCCCGAGGTAGGCTATCCACGGTCCAGAATAGTTTACAGAGGCTGTTGGTTTTTGTGTGTCTTCTGAAACAGTGGCCATTATACGAGTGCCATATTATACTGATGATACGGTAAGATACGGTGTACGTTGGAAAATCACTGTAGTGCTATATTTGCATTGATATTGTAATTGAGAATAAATTTTATATAATGAACTTTACACAAGAAAACAGAGCTGTTTCATGCTTTTATGTGCCACATGTTTTATACTGATGCTGCAGCAGGGAGGAGGGAGGAGAGGAAGTGGACACAGTGTTCCCGCTGCACTATGCAATACCTCCTTTTACCGAAAGGGGGCGCTGCTGTAACTTCAATGTTTAATTATTTAAAAGCAGTCAATTAGATAGATAGATAGATAGATAGATAGATAGATAGATAGATAGATAGATAGATAGATAGATAGATAGATAGATAGATAGA